GCCTCCAACCGAAGAGCGATGGCCTCCACCCTAGTAGCGATGGCCTCTTCCCTCCACCCCAGTAGCGCCTTTGTTACTAGTAGGATTTGCAGCTGCGGCAGCAAGACCGTGCCGCTGAGTTCATTTGGCGTGCGTCGCCTTCCCTGGGCCCGGCAGCACAGGTCTTCTCAGGACTCACAGGTGGCGCCTTTCGTCGGTTTCGTTCGGCTGTTTCGAGTCAACGGTCTTTGTTCAGTGCCGTGCGTTGGACCCGTGACCTTGGTCCGAGTTTCAATAGGGACGCTGGTGAACTCGTGGAAACTGGCACAAGAACCAACATGCGTACGCACAACATTGCCAGCATTCTGTATACATCCTACGTGATTTCAATTGCAAGGTTTGGCAAAAAAGAAGGTGCAATGTTTGGTGCTGGCATAAGTCTGGGCATTCAAGAATCACTTCTAGTTCTCTTAGAATCCTTGTCGTTCTTTTTGAAGCTGCCACACCAGTGGGATGGCAACTACACCAGTGGGATGGCCTTCTTTTTTTCCATAAAGCCTATCTTCCGGGTGCAGAGCATCTGCCGATCCAAGCCAGCAGGCGATTTTGGGGATCCGGAACCAGCCGTTGATCCAGCGACTGGTGCCCTTTGCACCCCCGGAACTCCGGTCGCGCCGAGGTCTTTGTGTATATATATATATGTATATCACGTCTTTTCATGGGCCGCTCTTCTTTTTGTTCGACGACCGCAGGTTCGTACCATGGAAACTATGGGCCACCGGACGGATTCCAGTTCGATGTGAACAACCTCGATGAAACCATCCAGGCACGGGCCGCGTGGCACTCGGCGCCGAAACGACCTTCGTGGCACTCGGTGCCCGCAGTATCATCCGTCCGTTTCTTCGCGAAGGCACGGCAAGTTTCGAACAAGTTTGGGCAGAGACAAGCTTGCTTACTCATCAAAAAGACATTTTTTCAAAAGCGTCTCCCAACTGCATTGTAGCTCCACCTGGCAGGGTTTGGAGGGCCCCTGGGCCTTCTGGGCCGGTGTGTGGGTCGGTCCGAAGGACCGCCCCGAAGCGTGTGCCGCCACGGACGGTCGCAGGACGATCCCAATCTGGAGGACTACAACGTGAAGAGCCGTGTGGACGGCTTCGTGGCGGCGGCCCTGGCACAGGTGTGGGACCGCGGTCCGGATGCGGCCGGGTCTCCTGGTCCTGAAAGACATGGTGGAACATGGTGGAAAGAACACCAAGCTGGAGGTGTATTTCCAAGCTGGAAGGGTCAATTGATAGACAGGTTGATCTCCCGAACCTTTGGGGTCTTGCTTCTTGCTTTTTTGAGCTACACACCCAGGTCGTTTTTCCATTGACAATTTTGCATTCTCGGCAGGCGAATATGACTCGAGGCAAGAACATCATGATGACCATGGGCTCGGACTTTCAATACGAGGACTTACTTTTCGGCTGGTTTCGCTGCTGCACCAGCAGCGCTGGCAGCACCAGCATCGAAGGAGCCTACTTTTAAGATCTAGTGTGTGCCCCATGACCTTTAAGAGTCCGATCAAAAGATTATCACTAATTTTGAGAAAGGCTTGCAACTGAACCATCACCATGCACTGGGCCCTGGGTGTTTGGGATACAACCAATATCTATCAAAGGCTGACCTGACTTAGAGATGTTGGAGGGAGGACTTTTCGAGGAGCCAACCTTTGCTATTTGGCAAACATGTCAAGTCTGATCAATGCCATCCACCTTAGTCCACCTAGGTCGGGTCCCCTGGTGCTTGGCGCGCCTATAGGTCAATTCCATTGGTCCCGTGGCGGTGTTTACCCACAAGAACCTTAGCCACAAGGGTTCGAACCTTCCGTAAATTCGCTCAACATTTTTCGAGGTCTTCAAGACCGTCTTGAGGTATTGTCCAGCTTGCTACTGTTGATGGGGAACTGTCGCCATCCAATATCCAATATGTCAACCCCCCCCCTATGGGCTGCAGCTTGCGCATCCAGAGACAGTAAACTCATGATTCACTTATTGCTTTGCCTGCCCATCGCTCACCTCAGACTGGAATTCGGAATCCTCAGACTGCCCTCTTTGAGCCGTGAGGACGCACTGACCTGGTTCTACAACCTGGATCGGCTCATTCAGCATGTGAACGAGGATGGCCGAATAAAGGTCTTCTACTCCACGCCCTCCCGCTATGTCGAGGCCAAGCAGAAAGAGACCATGGTCAAATGGCCCTTGAAGGCGACCGCGCTCGTCGCGCGCGCCTCGTCGCCCGCGTCATCTGCCACAGGCGACCCGTCGCACCGGTCGTGATCGGGCCACTCCGTCGGAATGGCCGGACTGACGGTCTTCTTTTGGTCCGCCTTAGCACGGTTTTCAACAGGTTGGTCGACTTGAGAAACTGCCGTGCAGATCAAGTCGAGAAACTTTGCTGCAACCGCGAATGTGTGCAGCATGGACTGTTGCTAGAGTCCGCATTGGCCCAATTTCTCGGGCACCGAAACGGGCTTTCTTGCGAGGACTTCCTCTTTTCTTCGGCCGCCAGGAGGATGACTTCTTCCCCTATGCGGATGGGCCTCACAAGTTTTGGACGGGATACTTTACCTCCAGACCCACGCTGAAGCGTTACATCCGTGACACCAGCGCCTTCTTCCAGGTGAGCGGTGGGTGGACGGGCGGTGCGCCGGTCGGCACATGTTTGGCTTCGACCTGACGGGAAGCTCTGACCCTTTCCAGGGGCTCAAAGAGAGAGCGGTCGGTCTTTGGAGCGCTCGAGCGCTCGGGGCGGCGGGACCTGCCGGAGTGCTGTCGCTGTTGACCAAAAACCACTGCAAATCTGAAACACGTTGCTTCTACTTTCTATCACAGAACTTTAGACAATACATGCTATCTGGGCTGGTGCAATTGTTGGTTCTTCTTGGTGAGCTGTTGAGCTGGCTTCTCGAACTGCTCGCATGCTTGCCAAACAACTATATATCTCCATTCTGGTCAGGCTCATGAGCCGGGTGCTGTTTCGAGACGATTCTCTTCAACCTGCGAAAATCTGGGTTCTGGTGCACTCATGCTCCCCCTCCTCCCAATCCTACTGGATCCAAGTCCCTGATTTTTCCCCTTCTTGCAGCCAAATGCTCCATGCCTGTCGCCGGTGCCCTCCTCCCTCGTCACCTTCCGTCCTGAGGTGGCGAAGCAGATCACGGCGCTCGCCGAGTCCGGAACGCAGGGCCTGGAGCACTTGGCGGAGGCGCGGAGGGACGCCGCCCGCGACGCCGGCCACGCGCCGCCCCGCGGGGTCCGCGGAGAGACCGCCACGGGACTGGCAGGCGTTCTGCCAGGCGGCGAAGCCTCTCCTTGGGAGCTCGGAGTTAGGTCAACTCCGATTCGGAAAATGTTGCGCCTTCGTCCTCTGAAAGAACACATACAAAGCAGCATTTGTCGTCCTCCATTTGTTTTCCTCTCGGCCAGACTCTTTCACTGTCGAATCGGTGTATCACAGGATGTCGAATCGTGTCTTGGACTTGTGCCAAGGATGTCCACGTCCACGTTACTCCTTCCAACTGTTGCGAACAAAAACACGCGACGAGGCCCTCGGTGTGGCGCAGCACCACGACGCCGTGAGCGGCACCGCCAAGCAGCACGTGACCTTCGACTATGCCAAGCGCTTGGCGCGGGGAAGGACTGCGTTGTCCGAGGAAGGGGAGTCATTGGGCCGATGTCACGATGTGGCGGTTTATTTGGTTTCTATTTTTCAATGTCGTCACGCGTGACTGGTTGGGTCTCAAAGGGATTTTTTTGAATAATTATAGACACGTGGTAACATGTGACCCAACTATTTTCAATGTTTTTTCCACGCCGAATCTGTCAATCGTACAATCCGGCTTGCAGTCCACATGCATTCACTTTCCGTTCGGTCCATTTTTCACTTCAGAATCTTGCGGTCACTTTTATGGTTTTCACCTGGGGTAGAACAACAGGGCACACACACAAGATTACTGGATTGAATCAGACTGCCACCTTCGACCCAGTTGGGACTGGGAATCTGGCCAACTCGACTTGCCGTGTCTATAAGTGAGATCAGCGGGCCCTGCCGAATGTCTCCAGTTCTTCAACAGCTCAGGGAAAAAGACTTCGGAGCGTTCGGTCTATTGGCTTTCCCCGACCATGACGGCCCCGAGCATCGACTGCAGGAGCTTGGCCTATCCGGAGGTCTCAAAGGCTTTGAAGACCCATATGGGCAAAGCCTCGGTTCAGGTGCAGAACTGGGAGAGCATGGGCCAGTGACATCGATGCTTTCGTTTCTGGTTTGGACAGACCACTTGACATATTAATAGTTGTGCGCCTGCAGGTAAAGGCTCATACGATCAGAGTCAAGTCTCTTCTAACCAGCCTGCTCCAGAATATCAAATACTTCTACCAAGTCTTTTGATCAGGGAAACCAGCTTTGAGGGTGGATAGTTTTTGGAGCACCTCCTACAAAAGCAGGCTCTTGTAAGACCGTCCACATGCGTAAGACTCCCAAACACCAAGATGAAGAGTGGACACCATTCTCAACATCCAAGCTTGTTGGACCGAAGGGAACTCTGGTTCGTGTCAGCGCTTCAACCACCATGTACTTATCAGACAGAAGCAATCTACCCCAGTAAAAATATTCTGAGGTACTTGATGTCGTCACTCCGACATCGGCCAGGACTTCACTCTTTGTGAGCTGCGAAATGTCTCGCTCTGTGCTCTCACCCAAGCGGTGGGCCGAAGTACCAACAGGCCGGGCAGCACCGAGCGCTGTGGGTCATGGCATCTGTGGACTGCTGGTTGAAAGGACCCGACCCTTGGGAATGCTGGATGACCAGGGCTGCTCTGCTCTGCTGCGCAGACGGCCCGTTCCACGCGGGGAAGACCACCACGAAACCCGGGGTGAAATGGGGAAGACCACGGAACAGGCGCCCGACGCAGTCGTCAAGCACCGGGCTAGCCCCAGTTTTGGCGCACGCATGGTTCAAGAGAGGAACACAACCACAGATAGAGAGGAACGCAACACACCCATCATCTTGCCTGGAGTGTGGATGAACTTGGAGTATTCCCAGCCCCCGAAATCGGGGTGGAGAGTGGAGGTTGCCAACTGCAGTCCCATTGGAAACCCAGTCCCAACCAGATCCAGCCGCTCTGGATGGAACGAGTTCCTCGTCCCAGCCATGTCCGATGTAAAGGATCTCAAGCGAACGCGGAACTTGCAACAACCATTTCCGGTGACTTGGTGCCCAGATCCGCCGCCAACAAGACATGTTTTTCGTTGCTTTGGAGAGGTGGCATTTGGTGGACCGAAACCACACGGAGGAGTGTTTGGACATTCCTGTGATGCCTGACCCCGGTAGACTCTTGATGAAAAAAACTTTCCCAATTGAATGCACGGACTTGCGGACGGTAGTCGACGCGCCCCCACTCAATCCCTTGCTGGGTTTCCAGCGGGTACTGGTGGGTAAATGGTGTGAGACTTCTCATGCCAAGATAGGTACAAAGAACAGACATGTATAAAAACTTTGTCTACGGAACCAGGCATCTACGAACGAAACGGCCCATGGCTCGAGGTCTCTAAATTCCTAATTACAACTTGTCTGCATTCATTCTGGTCAACTGCAGGTCAAGAGATTGCATCTAATTCAGGAGGCATCAGGGTGTTTTATGGTATCGAATGGTTTGCCCCGAAAAAGGGCATAGCGTACATGTTGGATGAAGGCATCTTGTTTGCCTTTAGAGACTTCTGGTAAATTCGGCTGTTGACAAGGGGAGCCATTAGGTAACAGAGCCAATGGCAGAATCTCGGTATGATATGGTGGATCATGTGGCATGGCATTGAGCATTTGTGTGATATATGTATATGTTACATCCGGGTTGGGCAACACCGGACGTCTGGACACTCCACCTTCATGGTAGGATGTAAATCCTAAACGTGTTAAGCTTGTAGTCCCTTGCTTTTTGTAAGCCGGGATGTACTTTTGGCGCGAGAAGGTTTGGATATGTTTAACTATCCACCGAAAATTTTCTGCTAGGACTCTTAATGATTTGGTCTTGACAGGGAGCAAAGCAACTTGAGGGTCATCATACTGCAATGTGTGGTATCCTTTATCTTTTTTAATGCGAATGGGTAATAACTTGTTGGTCCAGTGCATAAACGAAATGGCTAACTCAGTCCATGAGATGCCTGGATCACCTGACGCTGTTGTAGTGCTAGGGTCTGGCCAAACAAGAGCTGAGCAATACTTCCACACCATATATGTGAGATTAGCCCCCCAGGTGCTACACCAAAAAACTACTTTGTGTGGCTCAGTCGGCATGGCATATGGTTGTGCGTGTACTTGCCACTGTCTAAGCTTGTTTAGCTGTGTCGATTGAGGGTTAGTTGTTGCGGAATTGTTGAAGTCGTCTGTGGTAGTTATGCTGGTTGGCTTTGGTGTTGTTTCCATTCTTGCATAGGCGATATCAAGTAGATAATTGTAAATTTGGATGAAAAGCTTCTGGTTCATCTGCCAATCATTCTGAATGTCTGTACACAATTGTTCAAACTCTGTGTCATCGGTATTGCGTATAGCTGCTGCTGTACGGTCTGCTAAATCATTGCCTTTGATATGCCATGCTTCTGCTTGGTTACGTGCGGTATTAATATCCTGATGGGATGCAATCTTAAAGATCTGAAACCTAGCAGAGTCCCACAGGAGTGCTAGTCTTTGTACTAGGTCCCAATGGGCACATTTATGCGGTGCCTGCCTGTATGTATCTTGATTTATCTTTTGTACTTGCGAAATCACAAATTGAGAGTCTGTCACAAATGTGACTGGCAGTGATCCTGGACTGCACAAAATTTGTTCAACTGCCACAAGGAGGGCAAACAATTCTGATCTATTAATGGTTTGCGGGCTAGGGCAGTGACCTGCTGCAATGACGCGGAAAATTGGTTGTGCTTGATCAAGTGGATGGGGTATTCGAATTATAGCAGCCCAGGCTGCTCGTGCTGTATAGGGATTGCGTGTATTATCACACGTGCCATCTGTGTAAACGGTTGTTTCTGTTGCGATCTCTGGGATGGGATTGGTTATAATTGTTGTCGATCGCAGGTGCATTGCTTGTCTTGCCAACTGCACATCTGGGTGGTGACTGGGTAAGGGAAACCAACACAGGTGCTTATATTTTGTAAGATGTTGTACGGCTTCCTTATGCTTGTCCCGTATTGTTTTAAAGCAGTGACACTCTAACAATTGATGAGTATGGGTGTCACACTGGCCACACCAGGGGCAGGCTGGGTCCTGTGTGGCGGACCAGTTGGCTATGCACCCCAGGGACTGCCACCCTGATGTAATACTTATGGACAAAATGCGGCGTTGGCGGTCGGTGAGTTGACGTAAAACTCGAATTGCTGTGACTGAACTGAATGGGTGCTCTGGTATCCCTTTTCTGTGTTGGACTTCTGAATGGCAGTACCAGTCCCAAGCGATCCGAAGTTGTAATCGCATCTGCTTTGTTGATGTACTTGGGAGATGAAACCTAAGACCTCCCGGTCCTAACAAGGTAGCATTGGCGGTCAGCTCCCATCCAACTTTCCGTAAGTAAGCTGCTAACGCACTTGCCGGACCACGTACCGGGCCGGAAAAAGTACGAACTGTGGTGACAATTTGTGTGGCGAGTGACGGATAATATGCAAAGAGACGACGAAGAGTTGTTAGCATGTCGGACAGTATATTTATGAGGCTTACGCCTGACAGCCGGGCGCCGGCCTATTTGGGTTTGGGTATGTGCAGGGCTGGGTCCTCTCTCTCTCCCTTTGAGACTTGGTGGGGCCTATATTTAGCAAAGTTAAGCTATCTGGTGCGCATCTTGGCCCTAGGTTGGGCCAAGTTGAGCCCATGTGGTCTATGTTGGGCACATTTTGGGCCCAAGTTGAGCCTATGTTGGGCCTAGGTCGACCTATGTTAGGCCTATGTTGGCCGAGGTTGGGCCTATGTTGGCCCCATGTTGGCCTATGTTGGCCCTATGTTAAGCCATCTTGGAGGCTATGTTGGGCATATGTTGGCTATCTTGGGCCTATGTTGGGAATATGTTAAGCAACTTATGTGCCCAACACCAACGAAATGTCGATTAAGCTTGTCCGCGCGGCGCGCATAACCGACACCACGGGCGCCCTGTTAGGCGAAAGTCGTGGACGCCGAAGGCCACGAAACACTGTAAAAAACGATAGTTTTGAACATTTATTGACCATCCTGCGCAAGATACATATAAATCTGTCGACCGGATTCGGGCGGGGGTCGGGCGGGGGTCGGGCGGAGGTCGACCGGGGGTATACCGGAGGTCCAACAAAAGGGTCGGCGGCAGGGGGCGCGAGCGTATATAACCTTCGGTTACCAACCGAAGGCCTCCGGCAAGGGAACGTGCGCGTGGCCGGCGCCCGGATTTAAGAGGCTTACGCCTGACAGCCGGGCGCCGGCCTATTTGGGTTTGGGTATGTGCAGGGCTGGTTCCCCGCTCTCTCTCTCTCTCTGTCTGTCTGTCTCTCTCCCTCTCTCTCTCTCTCTGTCTCTCTCTCTCTCTGTCTGTCTGTCTGTCTGTCTGTCTCTCTCTCTCTCTCTCTGTCCCTCTCTCTCTCTCTCTGTCTCTCTCTCTCTCTCTCTTTGAGACTTGGTGGGGCCTATATTGAGCAAAGTTAAGCTATCTGGTGCGCATCTTGGCCCTAGGTTGGGCCAAGTTGCGCCCATGTGGTCTATGTTGGGCACATCTTGGGCCCAAGTTGAGCTGTTGGGCCTAGGTTGGCCTATGTTAGGCCTATGTTGGCCCCATGTTGGCCTATGTTGGCCCTATGTTGAGCCATCTTGGAGGCTATGTTGGGCATATGTTGGGGATATGTTGGCTATCTTGGGCATATGTTAGGGATATGTTAGGCAACTTATGCGCCCAACACCCACGAAATGTCGATTAAGCCTGTCCGCGCGGCACGCATAACTGACACCACGGGCACCCTGTCGTGGACGCCGAAGGCCACGAAACACTGTAAAAAACGATGTTTTTGAACATTTTTCGAACATCCAGCGCAAGATACATATAAATCTGTCGACCGGATTCGGGCGGGGGTCGACACGGGGTATACGCGAGGTCCAACAAAAGGGTCGGCGGCAGGGGCGGCGAGCGTATATAACCTTCGGTTACCAACCGAAGGCCTCCGGCAAGGGAACGTGCGCGTGGCCGGCGCCCGGATTTATGAGGCTTACGCCTGACAGCCGGGCGCCGGCCAATTTGGGTCAGAGTCCGCGCACTGGATCCTCTCTCCCTCTCCCTCTCCCTCTCTCTCTCTCTCTCTCGCTGTCGGTCTCTGTCTCTGTCCCTGTCTCTGTCTCTGTCTCTTTCTCTGTCAGTCTCTGTCTCTGTCTTCTCTGTCTCTGTCTCGGTCTTCTCTGTCTCCGTCTTCGCTGTCTTTGCCTCTCTCTCTCTCCCTCTCTCTCGCTTTCGCTTTCCCTCTCCCTCTCTCTCACTCTCTCTCTTTCCCTCTCCTATTGAGCAAAGTTAAGCTATCTGGTGCGCATCTTGGCCAAGTTGAGCCCATGTGGTCTATGTTGGGCGCATCTTGGGCCCATGTTGAGCCTATGTTGGGCCTAGGTCGGCCTATGTTAGGCCTATGTTGGCCTAGGTTGGGCCTATGTTGGCCCTATGTTGGCGTATGTTGGCCCCATGTTGGCCTATGTTGGCCCTATGTTGAGCCATCTTGGAGGCTATGTTGGACATATGTTTGGGATATGTTGGCTATCTTGGGCCTATGTTAGGGATATGTAAGGCAACTCATGTGCCCAACACCCACGAAATGTCGATTAAGCCTGTCCGCGCGGCACGCGTAACCGACACCACGGGCACCCTGTCGTGGACGCCGAAGGCCACGAAACACTGTAAAAAACGATGTTTTTGAACATTTTTCGAACATCCAGCGCAAGATACATATAAATCTGTCGGGCGGATTCGGGCGGGGGTCGGGCGGGGGTATCCCCGCGGTCCAACAAAAGGGTCGGCGGCAGGGGCGGCGAGCGTATATAACCTTCGGTTACCAACCGAAGGCCTCCGGCAAGGACACGGGCCCGTGGCCGGCGCCCGGATTTAAGGGCTGCCGCCCCTGCCGCCGACCCCGGGATATACACCAACAACAGCAATCACAGCAGCAGTAGTAAGAAGAAGACCCAGAAGCATCACAAGATCAGAAAAACCACTAGCAACAGGCAGCAAGAAGCATAGTAGGAATGCCTCTGTTCTGGCTGTGCTAATAGACTGGCGGCTGTTTGCGGGGGCTTTGTTGGACAGCCCAGGTGCTGAGCCAGCAAGGCTTGTGCTGCGGCAGCCCTGGTGCTGACCGTAGCACTTCCTGTGGACGGCCGCAGGTCTATCTGCGTGGCTGGAGAATGGCAAGCAGAAGAAGAAGAAGAAGAAGAAGAAGAGGCAGAAGAAGAAGAAGAAGAAGAAGAAGAAAAAGAAGAAAACGAAGTAGCAATGCCTCTGTTCTGGCTGTGCTAATAGACTGGCAGCTGTTTGCGGGGGCCTTGTTGGACAGCCCAGGTGCTGAGGCAGCAAGGCTTGTGCTGCAGCAGCCCTGGTGCTGACCGTAGCACGTCCTGTGGACGGCCGCAGGTCTATCTGCGTGGCTGGAGAATGGCAAGCAGAAGAAGAAGAAGAAGCAGAAGAATAAGAAGAAGAAGAAGAAGAAGAAGAAAAAGAAGTAGCAATGCCTCTGTTCTGGCTGTGCTAATAGACTGGCAGCTGTTTGCGGGGGCTTTGTTGGACAGCCCAGGAGCTAATTCTGGTCCAAAACGAGCCTCCCATGGTCGCACTTTGGCTGCCTAACGCCGCCTCTGAATCCCTAGAAAAAAAGAAGTTTGTGTCCATTTGTCTCGGTCATCTTGGCCCCGAACACCTGGTCCCGCCACAGCTTTTCCCAATCTAATTCTGGTCCAAAACGAGCCTCCCATGGTCGCACTTTGGCTGCCTAACGCCGCCTCTGAATCCCTAGAAAAAAAGAAGTTTGCGTCCATTTGTCTCGGTCATCTTGGCCCCGAACACCTGGTCCCGCCACGGCTTTTCCCAATCTAATTCTGGTCCAAAACGAGCCTCCCATGGTCGCACTTGAATGACGTACACCGGCGCTGCCAGGCTAAAGGCTGCGGTGTCGGAGTGCCGCGAACGTACCAATCCAGGGAGGGTTGAGGGGTTTGAAGGGTTTGAGGGGTTTGAGGCGTTTGAGGGGTTTTGAGGCCTCGTTTACCAGGATCTATTTCCACCAAAAACTACTCCAAAACAGACTCAACTGCTCGCACATTCGGGGCCAAACGTTGCGTCTGGATCCCTAGAAAAAAAAACTAGTACATTCTGGCCCATCCGTACCCTGTGAACCTGAGCACCGGCACAGACCTTGCCACAAGAGATTCACAGGCACCGGCATCCATGGTGAGCACTCCCACACCTGTAATCCCTGGCGCGCTCCCCCTTTCTTCAGCCGGGGTCGGCGGATAAAGCAACGGGTCTTGGACCCGATCGGTTAAGTACTGGAGTGCTATATGGCTTGACGCATGCTTGTGCTCACCTACTAACACATTCGTCGCCGCCCTGCGCAGAGTGGCAAAATGTCGCTCTCCAATTGTTAAACCTAGGGCTCCATAAAAGACTGCAGGCCAGACTGCAACCTGGATCATCTCTGCCCGATCATCTAATGAGAGATTAAGGCGTCGGACTCGGTTACATTTGGCCACTGCATTGTCAATTTTGTCCCTGAGCGGTCCGAGAACAACTTTATCTGTGTATGAAATCGTGCATCCTAAATCGTGTACCTGGCTTTTGATGGGGAACTTAAAATCGGGCGCCATAAGCAAGAGCGAAGCTGCTGTCCAGAATTCTCTGAACGTCTTTGTGGTGCCCCAACACCAGGATTTAGAGAAGTCAATTCGCATTCGCAGGTCGTGGATCAGGTTCAAAATTAGCTGGAGTGATCGAAAACATTGCTTTTCGGATGTTGACATGAATGACCAATTATCGGCATAAGTGTACGGGAAAACCTTAGGTGACTTCAGCTTGGTATGATATATGAAACTTAAGGCCAACATACCAACCACTGACATTGAATCTCCTTCTGGCAGACCCGTCGTGGAAGGGGAGGGTTGACTCATCTTGCGGCCGTTTTGTAGGACTCGTGTTAATCTTGTCAAAGACAGAAACCAGCAATCACAAACTTTGGGTGGGATGCCTAGAATCTGAAAAACGTAGCGGACCACTCTTCGTGGGATGAGGTTAAACGCTTTGACTAGGTCCATTGTCCATCCCCCCCAGGCTGTGTGGAGCGTCTTTGCGTGCTCAATTTGCAGTTGTTGCATAATCACCAGATCCCTAGCCGATCTCTGTGGCAAACCGCCACTAATTTCGGATGGCCAAGATTGAGCCCACTGTTGTAATATTTGGTCTGAAATCATTTTTGATGCGAGTCTTGCTAAGTAACCGAGAATAGTTATCGGTCTGCCATCTGATATTGAGGTTGGGTTATCCCTTTTTGCGAACAGCAAAGTCCTGGCCTGCATTTGGCGAGCTGTTAGGCCATGGTGCCAAATGGCCCCAAACAGGGCAGCTAAGTCAGAAACCATGCTACGGGTGAGGCGTTGTAATTCCTCAGAATGCCATCCATCCACTCCAATGGCCTTATGTGACTTAAGTCGGTGAATGGAGTTCCAGAGACACTGTGGGTCATCAAACCGTAAATCGAGCATTGGTTGGACTGGGATACTATTATCTAAATCATTAAACAGGTCAGCCCAAGGTTCATCACTATGTTGGTCTTCCTCAGGGTCCCGAAGCCAAAACTGTGCCCAATATCTTTGAAACTCGGATGCCATGGCTTCAATAGTGTATGCATGAGACTCGAAAATCAGGTCTGCGCACCCTGGCAATGCACCTTGCACATTCTTTATGGTTACAAATGGAGACTCGAAGCGCACCACTTCAGCTCGGCACATCCCAAACTTAATCAGCGCTCCCTCCGGGAGAAAGAATGGTGTCTGTAGTTTCAGCTTTGGCAAATTATTGCGTGCCCTACAAAGGGTCGCATGCGATTGCTGACACACAGGGAAGTCATGTAAAAATTTTTGTTCTTTGCCTTTAATGTATTTGTAGGCTGCTGCATTACTTGTATGAGATTTTGCCAGCTCAATGCAATGTTTTTTATGCTGTCTGCGAAGGCTTTCCTCTTGCTAAAAATATGTATCGGCATCAAGTTTGGTGATGTGATAAGCGTCTGTAAGCCATGTCACGGCCGGGACTGCTTGTGGCACGAAAGAAATGCATTCGAAGCTCAGTATCCATGCGCACCATGAGCGGCCGTATCCCTGTGCACGAACAATGGCTTCCCATTCCTGTTGAAGCTGTCTTTGTTGTAAATTGTTTAGGTGGTGTAAAGATAACTTCTGGATATGTCTAATCAATGATATCAGGCGTCGTGTCTGTCGTGCTTTCAATCTCGCTTTATTAGTTGTGGCTTCATTGGGGGGTTCATAACCTTTGGTTGGATCGACCTTGATTGTTTTGGGAGCTACATTGGTCACCCATTTTGTCTGTGCACACCTTCCAAAAAACTTTTGCGGTAACTGCGCATGAGGATGTCTCATTGTTGTCCCAATTGAATTGGACATCCTCTTCATAGGGGGGTGAGGTGTGTAGTGACGGACAACCACTGGTAAGGGATGTTCTGAGCGTAACGCTAAGAACATTGTAACAATGCAACGTTCTAGGTATATAATGAGTCAGAACATTGAGAACAATTGATGCAACTTGTCCTTTCTTAGAACATTATCATAAGGGATGTGATCATGAAAGAATGCACAGTTGATGAATACACTCCGTGGAGATGCGCTTGTCCGCAGACTCTCGGCTGCATGCGTAACAATGATGTTCTAAGAAACGGGGATTTGAGCATGTTCTAACTCAATCACTAAGAACATGGCAATGTTCTAAGCCTGGATTCTGTGAACAACGTCCTATTGGTTCTAAGTAAGGGTTTTGGATTGTGGACAAATCAAGAGTCTACATTATGCATCGAAGATCCCGGCAGTACAACAACACAGAGTCTACATTGAAACCTGGGAGGTGAAACCATGGGAGACTGGGTCAGTTGCTGTAGGCCCCCGGTCCCTAACGAAGTGAATGAGCACGGTACCTTTGTGCTCCCTAGTCAACCGGTTAGAAAGGTCAGCTCGAAACCTTGCGGACAGCTCTGCACGGCTCTGCCCGGCTCCGCAGAACTTGCTTCGCGCTGTGGAACGGCCTGGCACGGCCTCGTGAGGAGCGGATGTGTCGCTCGGTTTGTTTCGCAAGTCCTTCCTGCGGACGTAGAGTGAAAACCATGTAAACGGCAAAAGCAGCAGATCATAGGCACCTCTGTACACACCAAGTGCTGGAGGATTTGGTCGTTCTCAGTGGAAGAAAAGGATCAGCCCATTTTTCTTGCTCGCTCGCTGTTGAAACCTATGTTGCATATAACCCGCGAGACCTATTTCCCGAAACGAGCCCGTCTTCATATAACCTATGCCTTGGCCTTGGTTAATCATTTGGAGGTGGGCCCCGGGTGGTCGACCAAGGCAGCCAGTCGCTTCTCTCTTCACTCGCCCCGCATTTATCGTGGCATCGAATCCCGTGCTCAGTTCGAGGAGCTCATTGAGCTCCCGGTCTCCTCGAAAAACCTGGAAGTTGTCCAGGCCGAAACCAACGAGGCGCCGAGTTGCCGCCTGTTTTTCCGTGCCACGCGGCACGGGTCGGTGTGGTCGGTCGCGTGTGGACTCAGAGGGTTGTTTCAGAGAGACTCGTTGCCACCTTGATTCCCGGCGAGCTGCGTTTCGTTTGTAATGAATCGTCTAGACGACACTGAGGCCACAAAGTTTGTATGTTTGTGCGCGTGCCTCACAGGCGTATATGACCATGAGACACCTTTTTGACAACAATGCAACATATGAGAAACCGCCAAAACGTGCAATGACTAATTTAGATTATATAATTTAGTAAAGAGCGGTCGTGATGTGATTTTCTGGAATTGGGCTAACACCTGCCAAAGCGATAGGCCCCCCTCAAAAGCGATAACAATATTTCCGCAGTTGAAATGTTCAGCTATGTTGACATTGTGACTAAAACGCCCCTCAAAAGCGACAACCTTGCTGAATCATGTCCTCTACTTGACCGTACGTTTTGGCAGACGCTCATATATGTGGCCGATTTGGTTCGGAAAAAGCTTCAGTCTTGTTCCGTTTCGATATCCGCAACAGAGGCTGTCCCCATTCAGCTGGTGCGTTCGCTCCCATCGGTCACCAACTATGGCTCCGATGCAGGCGGGAGTGTTTTTCGATGGTTTCGAAAGGGTGGGTGTGACCTGGCTAGGGGACGAGAGGTTCTTTCAGAGTGGACTGGGCACCCTCACAAAACCAACTGAACATGCCTTCTCCTCTCCTTGCGATGAAGTTGTCGTTGGAGGCAGGTGGACCTAGCCCGAAGTTCCGGATGAAATGTGATCATCCCAATCATTTGGTCTGTCCTTTTCTACTCCAGTGTCAGGCCATTTCTTCCCACTGCCTTCCGTACAGCTTTTCGGGTATTAAAGGAGCCATCGTGTGCTCAGCAATCTTCATGGCACAACAAGGTGGAGAGAAGCATCTCGCATCGTGTTGTCCCACACTGGTGTATCGGGAGGTTATATATCACCCCGCTGTCAGGTTCAGGTGGCTTTACTTGTCTGGTCATGTTTGAAAGTGGTTACAAGACTCAACAAGAGGCACAGCACAGTTGGACAGCTGCCAAAAGACACTGCATGAAACATAGACCCAAGGTTACAGGAGTCTCCTAGAAGTTCTCCATGTTGAAGGATCGTTTCTGGCAAGCTCAACTGGACAGAAGTGGCTTGTAGCAGTCGCCCGAGTGAAGTCCCTGTCAGGTGGTGCCAAGGACACGCTGTTGGCAGAGGTGAAGCTGCCTCCGCTGGGTTTCAGTGGCTTTTGCTTGCAGCAGGTTGAAGGCACATCCGTGGGAGGGGGGGCTCCGTATCCCGAGGGCAGTTTTTTTGAGGAGGTAGTCAGAAGAATATCAAGATTCTGAAATTTGGTGCGGAATGTTGCATTTTTCTTGAAATTTGGTTATTGAGTGTAACACACCGGGACCCCTAAAGGTTTCTTGCATTGGGCCTCAGCAGCCACCTCGACCTTGATCTCCCTTGCTGAATACGGAGAACCCGATTGTTTTTGCCTTTTGTCCAGACCAGGGTAACTGAGAATATGCTAAATTCAATTGAAAGCCATCATTCACTTGCAGCCTACATTTTGTAAGCACCCTGTATAATTTGTATCAATCTGCGTTAACCCCCATCAACAAACGACATGAAGATGCCTCAAACACATCAGATCATGGGGCGGTTGGAAGACCCAGCTCCAGCTCCTCGAGGCAAAACAGCGCCGGAGTCACAGTTGATGAAGGATGCAGAGGTGGCAGAATCGGTTTCAGGGCCGAAGAGTGACCGAGTGTGGAAGTCTTCGCAGAGAGGAAGAGAGTGAAAACACCAGGTCAACCAATTGATAGGCAGCCCCAAAAAGTCGCCGCCCAAGGTAGACATCTGCGAATCTATGTTTGGACCAGCTGAAGTGACTGCTCCTTTTTTTTGCTTTCCTAAGAATTCCCAGACTTCCGCACCCTTTCTCGCCCGCCACCGCTGCAGCTCATCGAGAATGAGAACTTAGCGATCCACTTCGCGGGCGGCGCCTGGGCGGACGGTGACCGTTCCGCTGGTTGGGCCGGCGGGTCGCTGCGTCGGTGCGTTTGCTTGTGTCAGACACCCGGTCACCGGTAGTCCTTCGAAAACACCGACCTGGGTTTTTACACACGAGTCTGGGAGTCTTGCACCGGGTCGATTTCCAGGTGCCCACGGAAAAACGACAGAGTCAAGGGTTGAAACATGTTGAAACATGTTGAGACCCTTTGTCCAGAGCCACGTGCGAGTCTACATAGTGAGGTCATCTGACCGAACTCAGTTCACAGCACAAGTTCACAGCATACCGGAGGTGTTTTCAGCGCCGGATCTAAGATTTAGGGACCTTTAGGGACCGTCTCTAAAGGGAGATAGTCGGTCTATGGGTCTGTAGATGGCCTGCAACTGCAGATGATGATGCAGGTAGATTTCTGTGCGTTTTGGAGGATGCGCGCAACACGAGGGAAGTGGTCCACGTCACATGTAGAAGCTGAACAGAGGCATAGAGCCTGAAGAGACTAGTCTCTTTGTGGTTCATGCTATTTTCAAGACTTGGTCTTAGATGAGGAGTGCTTTAGATTGAGCTCCTTCAGCATCGGCAACAAGCTCCCATGAAACTTTGCGTTCTGGCTCCTGTTACTTTAACATGCTACCTCCTCTCAGAGAGGGCTAGGAACCCTGATAGCAGCAAATGGACAAACCGTGACAGTCTTTGGCCTCTGCTCAGGCATGATGTCCAAGATCACTGACAAGGTGAACAACATGTCCATCCGTGCGGAGCAGAATTGGTTCTGGTACAACGTGCCTTGGAGGCCTTAAGAACAAGTACAGCATCTCCTTCCCGTCACCTTTTAGGTCTTGCCTAGTTTGGGCCAGTGTGGGTTTGAACAAAAGACAACATAGAAACCTTTTGGCTTTTGGATCCCATCTTCTAAGGTGATTATAGACAATTCCTAGCGAGGAACTTTAATTACACACAAAACATGGATTTCTTAAGAGAACCATACGCATATCTCTGCCTTTGCTCGCTCCAAAACGAGCGTCGTGCTGTTTCTTTGCGAGGCATCTGTCGGGAACGCCGAGAGCTCACAGGTGAGTGGTGCCTACATCTTCCGGCCGAACCGCTCACAGGCCTGTGGGGTCTCGGTCGCGGGGGTCACTCCCCCAATGGCCAACATCGGTTTTGGCATCTCCAAGTAGTTCTCCATCTGCCGACCCTTCACAATCTGCCAAGGGATTTTTCAGGAGTCCCAAAGGGTCGCAAAAGACGCCCACGGTCGGATGGCCAGGGATGGCCAGGGATGGCCATGGATGGCCAGGTGGTCCTTGTTTTTGGGTCCAAGTTCTCAAGTGGGCACTTCTGCTCCGGCGATTGGAAGACCTGGGACCGACGCTGACGACGAACTGTGTCCGTCCTCGATTTGCATGGAAGATCTGCCCTCATGTGGGACTGTTTGTACCGTTTTGGGCATCCCGGATTCCTGGCGTTTGGCATGCACAGTGTCACTGGACATGATAGGAGTTTCAAGATGCTTGCTGTCCAAGCATGCCTGACAAGTGACCACACACGGGTGATTTGGCGCATGGTCCTCGCCTCGTCCTCGCAGGCGAACCCTGTCTTCACTGGACTGCCCTTCATGCAAGTCTTCCATGGGGAACTGGCTGATGAGGCGGATTCGACACGAAGGACGTCGAGTAAACAGGAGTGAAGCGCCTGCCTCACGGGAGCGAAGTGCCTCTCCACAACGACTGCATTGGACCGGTGTCAGGACTCATTGGGAGCTGGTCTTCGGACTCATGGACCTTCGAAGATTTAGGCTTCGGAGCAGGTCGCGGAGCAGGTCCCGGAGCAGGTCCCGGAGCAGGTTCCGGAGCAGGTCCCGGAGTAGGTGCCGGAGCAAGCTTCAGGCCATTTTGCAGATATGGGTGAGGACTTTAATAAGGAAGCCCCCCAACCAATGGGTTGTGGTCTATTTTCCTTCTGCCTGGGGGTCTTTCAAAGGTCTCCCTATTTTCAAACACACCCATATGCTGAGGTGGTATCATGTTGTTGTGCTGACGTTGTCATGGCATGCTGACATATCATCATGCTGGCATGTCGCCAGGGGGTCCCTTTTGCCATGCTAACTTGCGAACATGCTGTCATGCTGTTCTTGCTGACACGCTAACATGTTGTCATGCTGACGTGCTGAGGTGTTGTCAAGTTGTCGTGTTAAATAGTCTATGCCGTTGCGGCCTCGTAATTAAAGATGAGGTTCGTCATGAGGTCCTCCCCTCTCAGCTCTGGCTCAAAGGAAAGGAATGTGGGGGCATACCGCAGTGTGCAACTCTGGTGTGTGCCTCACACTTCGGCGGGTTTGCAGCCACATCACCGATTTCTCGGTCGCTCCGGGGTACATACCTTTTGCTGCTGATCGCCTGTGGGCTCTCTGCGGCGAACTTTGCGACTTCGGGGACTCTCAGGTACGTGGAGGGCGAGCTGGAGCGGCACCCCTGGCAGGCTCTCTCCCCACCGACATCGCGCAAGGGATTGATCGCCGTCAAGCAGGAGGAGAAAGAAGAGTCAGGACATACAGAAAGTCGAAAGGCCAAAAGTGAGGATAGCGCTTTCGACTCTGAGGAAAGAAGCCTTTGTACGACAGCTCCCAAAAGGCCAAAAGGTTTGCCAGTGGCCGAGGAGCTGAAGGAGCACCCTTGTCAAAGGAAGTGAGAGGCCAGTTGAGGGAGAAGGGAGTGAACGGAGTGTGACGAGAAGTCCACTCCTCACTCTGAAAGGAAGAGAAGCCAGGCCAGACCCGAGGTCTAGCCAAAGACCACCATCTCCCCCTCCTGCAAGGTTGCGGCCCAGGTCCCCTTCTCATCCACCTCCACAAGGACGAGGTCGAGAGCAAGTTCCCTGTTCTTGCTTGCTGCGGCTTTGTCATGCTTGCTCACATGTGGGCACATGTGCCATGTGCCGTTCCGTGATGCTGGCAATGACACACTGAAAGTGCTCACATGTTTGGAGCAGCATTATCTGGCGAAGACACGGCACTTGCTGGTGAACTTGCGATGTTGCTTTTAGGCGGACTGATGCCCAGCTGATAGGGTTTTGCCCTATTGCTTTGGAGGAACCTCTAAATGCAGGATGTAGTTTTAGCGGGGGGTTTCGAGGCTGGGCTCTACCACAGCATAGGGATTGGTTACCTCGCAATCGTGCACAAAGCAGAACGCGCATGGTGGACATGGCGGGGGCGGGGGGCAGAGATTCAGCCCAAACGATGCTTTTTGATGTTTTACCTCCTTTTGTGCAAGTTACATCAAATTGAATCTATTACTTATTCGATGTTACTTTTGGTACTCTCTGTCACCAGCCTGTACAAACTATAGAGTGTGAGTCAGTTCCTAGTGGAACGGGAGCCGGTTCCCTGAGCGGAAACCGCAGGTTGTGACCTCAGTGGGTTCCTGGGTGCATCAACGCCTGCGCTTGGCGAAGAAAGCCTCGCACGTGGAGATCACCTACACCGTAGGCCAGGAATGCCCAGGGCTTCGCTTCGCTGACCCGCCAGGCTCGGTCGTAGGTCGCACCCGCCAGGCTCAAGGCCAGAGGATTTCCATTTGGGCCAAAACGAACCGAAGCTTTTCCGGTTCTCCTCCAATGGAGGTCTTGGATAGAGAAGGACCTGTTTTCCGAACCCACATGAACTGTCGTTGTGTACACAGATGTTTGCGCATACCTTCCGAATGTGCCCTGCTGGCACTGATTTGGAATTAGAACTAACCTTTGTCAGGATGTGGATGTGGGTCAAGAACCAGAACAAGATTACTGGATCTGAACTGTTCCAATAGTAGGGCAATGACGCTACAGAAACCGGAGTGGACACTGGGTGCAGAATCCGGAACTGGAACTGTTGCAACCTGCCTGAAGCACACCATCCATCCTTGAGCAGAGCATTCCCCACAAGGTGGGGTGAATTTTGCTTTCGGCACCAGAGGAGTTCAATCCATTATTTTTTTGGAAGAAATACTGAAAGGCAGCCCACGTTTTGCGCGGCTTCAGCTTTGCTTGCCTCATCCCGCAACATGATTATCTGATGGGACAGGAAACAGTCAGGACGAAAATGACCTTAAAAGATTGCACTGCTGGAGGGTACCTTACATGCATAGCCCATAGACGGGTCCTGCGTTGTACTGCAAGGATCCCTACAGCAGGTTGTAGGCGGTGGATCCTTCACCTTTGACAGATTGGTAGCAAACTTAGAACTAGATAGAAACACTCTCCGGATTCCCCAGACCAGGCGGGTCTCGCATCCACCAAGCATTTTTCACACAGGAACATGACACCAGTAAGCACCGAACCTCTTTAGCCGTCCTGGTTTCGGGTTGGTTTTGAACCCCTTCGCCGAAGATTTCTCTTCGTCCACAGTCTTTGAAGTTGGGACGAGGTGAGATCCCTGCAGATGATGGCCTTGGGAAAGAGATTGTTGCGCGCCTAGTGTGCACCTCCACGCTCCGCTTTTGGCGCCTCGTGAGACCAATGTGAGACACCTGAAGGGCTGATCGAATTTCTGGGTGCTGAAGGCGGAGAAGGTTCGCCAAACCGGTTCTGGCCCTTGCGCCACACATCCTCACCGAGCTATATCCCTAGCAATGCGAATCCGGAGCCTCCGGTCTGCCCAGGTCTCGCGCTTCAGTACGGACCTTCAGACGGCAGGGACCTGCTTCAGCGACAGCAACGGACGTGAGATGCTCCAGCGCAAGCGCCGGGGCACCCGAAGAGGTCGCAGGCGGGCGCCCCGCGACGACGTGGAACCAGCTGCGCTGCAGCGTGGTGGAACTAGCCAGTTCAGCGAGCATGCTGCCATGTGGTGCGACCGGACAAGCCGTGTGGTGGGTCATGAAGTCCGGAAAATGGTCATCATATTCATCATGCTCCGTGTGGGGCCCACTTCGTGTTCCGAATGAGGGGGCTTGGTTTCCATCTCGTTGATCAAGGTTGATCGGGATTTCTTCGATTCATTTGCGGTGTTGCTTTCTCCGTCGCTCTGTGAATCCATCAGTCGCCAGGCTGGGTTGCTTTTCACGGAAGGTAGCGGTTACACTACCTGAGTTTTCCTTTTGCTTTAGCAAACATGAATTATAACCAGAGTGGCCTCAAACCACGCAATTTATAGGGTTTTCTGTGGCTGTCATGGTTTTTGAAGTGTCTAGGCTTCAAAAATGGTCGAAAAATGACCAAACACCTGGAAAGATTTTGTCGGAAAGGGTTTTTTCGGCTTTTGGAGGCTTCAAAATGGCTCAAAACGGCGGTATTTACGCGGGTTTGTGCACCTTTCCGGCACAAAACCCTGTAAATTGCGATGGTTTTGGGCTATGTACGCTTCAAAGTGGCCACAAAACACCGTAAATACCAGTGTTTTCAGCTCCTCCAGTCTTCAAGAGTGTCCTCAAACCACGCTATTTACAGGTTCTTCTTTTTTGTGGCGGTTCGGCAGAGAAACGCATAAAAACCTATGGTTTTTGAACCGTCTAGGCTTCAAAAATGGTCGAAACATTGCCAAAAGCCTGGACAGATTGTGTCGGAAAGGGCTTTTTCGGCTTTTGGAGATTTCAAACTGGCCCAACACGACGGGTAGTCTGGAAAGTCCCGGATGACTTGTGATCCCCTGCTACCTGGACCGTTCACCCCCTCCTGCAACAGCACGTTTGAGCCATCACGTCTTAGCAGCTGTCCGAGGTGACTTTCGGCCATCTTGGGACTTCAACCAGACAGAAGAGGTGGCAGGTGGGCGACAAAGGGGGGGATGCGGCGATGAAGCGATGATGGGGGATCATCACTTCCATCTCTGCTTAGCACTGGTCGGTCTGGTCGTGGACGAGAGATGCCATGTGCCTTTTTGTCCAACCCGTTCGGCGTGACGCGCTGCTTTCAACCGACACCTCCGTGGCCGGGGCACGTGATGCCCGTGGCCGGGAAGGGTCTTGTGTTGCCGGCTGCCTGTCGGATTGCTGTGAGCCTGTCGAGGAGGAGGGCTTTTAGTTTCAGCTGCAGTTGATTCGCATCCCCTGATCTCTGACTACCAGGGTAACCTCTTCTCGATGATGAACCTATGTGTCAAGCTGGGCAGATAAACCTACTCATCCTGCCTCTTCAGGCTTTGGTCGGGTGATGAAATCCTACTGACTCATGAGCCAGAGGTCTTCACCAGGGTCTGGTCTTCACCAGTTTACCATTTGCCCTGTAGTTTACCATGGTGAATCATTGATCCGCGGGTGCCAGAGGCTTCACTTGGTTCTCATCCCGCAACACTCACGGATCTGTTTTGAGAGCCTCCAACCTGTTACATATTCGGGAGTTGGTTGGCCGGTAGAATTATGGCTGCCACCCAGACTCCAGAGCTGGCACAATACGGGTCTGACCTCGCAGAAGAAAACCTACCCATGCTCAAGAAAGATGCGCCTGCAGCTTTCCTGGGCCCGTCACTTTGTGTGACGCAGCAACAAGCATCAGTGCAAAAGTCGAAACGCACGACAACAACAGATCCAAGCGGGATCAGTCAAACACGTTCACTGAATTTCTTCACCCAATCGGTGGAGGTGGAACGTCTCCACATCGCCAGGCAACTACTATCCGATTGCCACGTCGCTCTTCATCAGGAGACCGACCTCTTCGGTCGCTTGCCCGGGTCGATCGGCGTCACACGTGGGGGGTCGGGGTCGGAGGTCGTCGGCGGCCAGGAGCCAGCAGTCTCAGTTGACGGTGCTCACCGATACCTCCCAGGTGGACAGCGAACCCGTCGCGCGCGTCCTGCGCGGCGAAGGGTGAAGGTGAAGACAGGAAGAACCGGAGGAGCGTTCTGAGAACATGGTAGATAGATCAGGTGCAAGAACATCGGTTGGCGCTTGTTGATGTCTAAAAAGATTGTGGACATCCCAGTTGAATCCCCCAGTGTTCAGATTCCTGTGCTTCAAGAAGGGCATCGCATGTGCAGGCTGGCACTGGATGCGTCCGCGATGGGGAGATCGAGATGATGGTGCATCGGAGGCTTTTCAAGGAGATCGGCATGGATGATTTGGCCATGAAAAGCATCCGATTTGCGAACTCAAAAAGGTGATACAGTGATATATAATATAAGGTTATTATAAGGATTGATAAATGGTGATAAGATGTGAATCCAGGTGAACACATGAACTCGAATCAGTGTTTCTTTTCCGCTGATTTTCCGACTGTGGTTTTCCAGTGAATCCAGGTGAACATGTACTTCCCAACTTCGAGACTTTTAAAGCATGGGCCGTTTTTCGTTCTTCAACGGGACGGCCGTCTTCCTCACCGTCCCGTGACTATGGTCCCGACAAGCGATGTGGACGAAAAGCACGTGATTTAGAAGCATGAATCACTTGAAACTCTATCAACCACAGCTGCACACATCAGGATGATGGCCGTGGTGTTGGGGAGCCTCTCAATGAGACGCAGTTTGTGACTTCATATGTGGAGGCATCGGTTTTTTGAAGAAACTGCTCAGAGGGAAAGCGGATGGCTTCAGTCTGCTCACAGGTATTGGCACTAGCTGTACCCACACGAAAAGCCCCACAAGTCAATTAGCACTCATGGGATGCAGAACACTGGCTCCCATGTTCTACAGGTGAACGTGGGCAACTCGGGCATGGTATGGCCTTGAAATAGTTCAATGTTGGGTGGGTAGATCTTGACGACCATCGCACGGGGTCATTTCGTGGAGCTCTTTCTTGCACAATCCTGCCTAACAGTGAATTGCACTGCACGAGTGTGTAGTGATCAGAGCCCTTCTTGATTCCCACCCCGGTTCCAACACCGACCCTAATTGTAGTCTTTTGATGTCTTTTGAATGGCTGGATCATTCGATCCCACGAATCTCCTGGCGCCTTGTGAAAGACATGTGGGTGGCGGGACGATTGAGATTGAGTTTGGATGGGCATAGAGAATGTTGCAGTTTCTTTCTTTTTCCCTCTCATTGCTTCTCACTCCCAAACTGCTGGTGGCTTGGCCAGGACCCCAAGGGTCAACATTACGGCCCGGGACTTGTGCCCTGGCAGAGCGGAAGGCACCTCCCAAAGAGGGAGTTACGATCCCCTGTGGCCAGCCCTTTGTGGACATTGCATCCATTTGACAAGATCGCAGTGACATTGTGATAGTACTTAGTACTTAGAACAAGGGCTAGAGAAGGGGAAGGAAGGGGTGGACAGAAGGGCGATCGAGATGAGATGAATGTGTATGGACCATATGGACGATGAGCGCAGCGTGCGTGAGTGCGTGCGTGAGTGCAGTGAAGCTGTGGGAGCTGCGTGCAGGCAGTGCGTCAGAGGGCTGAAGCCTCGTGGTACGTCAAAGCCTGGGCCTTCAAATCTCTAGAATATGACCAGCCATTTTCTAGAGAGGTACCTGGCGCGGATCGAAAAATGTGTAGGTACAGCCTTTGATCAATCATCATGAACAATTGCTAAGTAAGAGATTGATGGGGCTAAGTTGGTTTCCTTACTTAGGACATCCTATAGTTTTGCCAACAGAACTTTAATCAATGTTCAAGAGTGAATCGAACATATGCTTGATATGCACAAAGTGTTGCCTCGCACTACATGATGGCACCCTGAAGCTCTAAGCAGCTCGCTCGAGCAGCGCGTCTCAAGCGCCTTCGGAGAAGCTGGAAGGCTTTCGGCGAACCCTGCGAAGGTGTTGCGCCCTTTTCAAAGCCGGGTGAGCCGCTGCGGTTGGCTGGGGCCAAACAGGCCGAGGGCGCCAACCTACACAGAGCGTGGAAAACAAGGCGGAAGCCTCTTGACACTTCCTGGTGCGTTTTTGTGGAAAGAACTTGGCGCTGGTTGCTGCCAACAGGCTTCTCGCCCGCTGTGCGGTCTTCAACGTTGACATACAATGCAAGAACAGAGATGATGAGGAGATGCTTCACTGCTGACTTTATTGAACATGCAATACCACCCATGAGCTAGCAGCAACGAAAAACACACCTCCCCAAACTAGACCCCAGTAACGTTAGTGCCATTGCTCATGAATCTGAAGTACAGTACTGTTGATATCTGTTGATGAAAACGGATTCGGAATATAGCTTGACATGGAAAAGCGGATTGTACCACCATCTACACCAACTGTGATGGTCCAGGGCATTCACTTCTCAATTAGATGTCGAAAGTCCAGCGGGTTGGACTGCCAAGTTACGTGTCCAGAAGTGCTTGGAACCTTGGAGTGCGCCGAGAATCGTTTCAATCACAAATGACTGAATAGTACGACCTGTCCATTTGGCATGTGAACTGCGTATCACCAGTTGGATTCCAACCGGCCGGCATACTCCATGAACCAAGACACGTCAGCAGAACCTCCTATCTGTGAGGTGCAAGTAAATGAATGGAAGTGAGTGAAAGGGAGTGAGTGCAAAAAGAGTGAGTGCAAGTCAGTAAGTGTAAGTTAGTGAGCACAAGTGAAAGGGTGCAAGTGAGTGATGAAGGAGTGTATGTGTAAGTGATTGAGTGCAAGTGAGTGAGTATACAGGACATCTACAGGGAGGCCAGGGAGGTGAAGGAGGTGGAAGGCGGAAGGTGGAAGGCGGACGGGATGCACGGTAAAAGTAAGAACTCCACACAGATTGTGGGGAACAAGCAGGGCCAAAGGCATTCGGCAACTGCCTGAGGGCTGACGGGGTAGCGTGGCTGGCGTGGTTAATTCTTGTTCCAACCTAGACATTGAGGTTCAAAAGCAAGTCAGCTTGAATGTCATTAATCAGGTGCATCTGAGTATCCCCCTTTTCACAGATTCTGGACGAGAGAAAGGGTTCAAATAGCAGGGCTCACCGGCTCACTCAGGTGACGAGGGGCCAACATTGGCTCCACTTGGGGCGCCCCAGCAACACGGCCAAAAGCTGGCGCCCCTTGATGGATCGCCTCTACATGGCACCGGTGCCCTTCTTCACCGCAGGCAACACCGCAAGCGGTTTTGCCTTTTTTTCTCGGGCATATTGGGGCAGCTGTGTTTTGTGAGATCTTGAACATGAAAACACACATCAACATGTGGCTTTCATGGTCCATGGTCCATTAAATTAGTTCAACTGGACAATCCGGGCCGTATACCAGGTGAGGTGGCCTTCCGCAAGTCGTGGACCAATTGGCTGCCAAAGAATTTGGAGGCCTGAGGGTCTTCTCGGGGCCTTGCCATGTAGAAGCGCCCAGTGATCTACATATTACTGCAACAAATCAGGACACCTTCTTTGATCCGAAGATAAACGGTAGTAGCAGTCTCGGAGTGTGCTCCGACATCCGGAGGTCATCAGCCTGGCTTCTTGGGGGCCCAAGACACTGCTCCTGCGCATCGCTCATCAGTTCGGCGTGGGCGAGGAGCGATCGACGGCGCGTTCGCCACAAGAATTGCGATAGAAGACCGGATTCCAGATGCGTTTTGGGGTCCGGAGCAGGGACACCCCCGCATTCCCGAACATATACAGTCAAGAAGATGACTTTCCTTCGACTTCAGGCAGCTGGAAGACTCCAAAAGGTGGGTCGCACTTCTTCAGTCCTTTGAGCGTAGGATGCCCACTTGGTTGCGGGCCCGTCGGAACCATGGGTTTCTTTTCCCATGCTTCGGAGACTCTGACCAAAACGACCGGCCCGTTCAGAGGCCTCCGAGTTGAACGCCCGTTTTGGAGTTCAGGGGTCCATGACTCCATGACAACTACACGGATCTGCACTCTTGGCATTCCACAAGCAGCTCGATCTTGGACTTTTCGGCTCGAAGTGCTGAATAGAAGGGACGCTCTGAACAGGGACGTGATTGTCACCCTGACGGGAGAAGGGCCGTGATGAGATCTTGGGTGCCCCTTGGCAGTTCTTGTGGTTGGAACGGTGCAGATGATTATCACATCCCTTTTTCATCCTTTTTCCATTCTTTTCATCATTTATCCGCTCCCTCTTTTGGACATGTGGATTTTGGGGTCTAAGGAACACTTCGGCTGTATGACGCTAGTATGGTACTCATGGTTTGCCCAGAAGCACTATACTGCTGGGGCTAGTATGGGGCACTGAATTCCGACAAATCAAGCAAACAACCGTGAAGGGACGGACTGCGCATTGAAAGGCTTTTGTTTAATACTGTGGGTCCGTGGCACTGTGCCCATACAACTGGGCATAAGCCAGGCAGTGTTTGAGGGCGAGACAAGGCACAGTCGCTTTGCTGGTGCTGAGGCTTCTGCTTGCATTACCAATGGCTTCTGGGCGTACATGGAGCTTCCCAAGCTCCTCGGCTTAGGCACTTAGGGCGGCCAGGGGACCTCCTGCGTCGACTGATGTCGCACCGATGTCGCAGCGGTGAACCGAGCGGTGAGCCGATGTTCGAAAGCTCGAATGCTCAAGACTATGAGCCGTATGGGAAGCAACGCGGGGAGTTGGGCAGCCTACAACCCAAGTTACATCAATGCAAGTCTGGATATATGTATACTTACAGCATCTTACAGCCAGTCTGTGTATTTGCATAGACCGATTGAAGAAAGCCCCTCCTTTCAGCGAGTTTCACGGAGCGTGGCAATAGAAGTTGCCGTCTCTGATTTTGGGCAACTTCTTGGCGCAAAGGATGCTACGAACGGGGCTCCTGGCATCGCTACGAACGGAGCAAGGACGCTACTAGGGACACTAAGTTTCATGTTGTATTGAAGGCAGTGACGAAAGAAACACAAGTGGCATGCGGAATTCCTGCAGCAACACCTTCTGTTGTGAACATACTGACGCAGAAATCTGCTGTTGAGCAAGCTTGGTCAGTACCCCATCCCGGCCCCGCTTTGAGGCTATTGGAGTGATGCCTTCGAGGTTCACGATCCGGAACGGCCTTTCGGAGGTACCTACAGTGCGAACTACGTGCCACCGGACAGCCATGGCCCTTTGATCCTCGCGGGCCTCGTTCACGTGATTTGGGCCATCCACCTGTTGCGCCTCCAGGACTTCTGTGGTCACTTTCGCTTGTGTGACCTGGCAAAGCAGAGGTCTGATTCGTTGCTTTTTTTGAGTCCCTTCGGCCCACCGAAAGGAGGTGTTTTTTCGTTTTTGAGGCTCCCTCTGCAAACCATCCCCTTGCATTCAACACAGCACCGGAAACTTGCGGTTGCAGTCAGCCAATCTAGAAGCTGCACGACGTACTTCTTCATTTGTGGCGCAGCTTGTTCCATTTCCACTGTCGAAACATCCCCTTTGGTGTTTCAGACCAAACGAGTAGATGCCCAAGCAATTCCTTTTTGACACTTTCATCTCCACATCTCCATACATCCTTCATGCAGCCTCCAGCCTCTTCCGTCTCAGAGGTGGCCTTTTTTTGCTCCTGTCCCTCAGCTCCCTTCTCTTGGCCTTCGCCCGCCTGGCTCCGCTCCTACCCTTTCTGGCTGCGACGCCACTGCCCTGGACGGCACTGGGCCGTGCGGCTGGGCAGCTGCTACAGACACAGGCGCTGGCGGTGGCCTGTGGCGCGCCCAGCAGGGCAGAGGTCTTTCAGGCGCGAACGTTCAGCGCTGCTTCCTTCCGGAGAACATGTTGTGCCGCATTTTTTTTGTGGTCCTAGTGGTCCTTAAATCGATAGTGGCATGGTTTCCAATGCATTTCGAAAGGGACCCTTTTACTTTTCTATCTATTTGCGGGTCAGTCCGAAGTGCCGGCCAGTCTGAAGAATCAGATGGAACTAGTAACAAGAAGCTACTAGGAGCAAGGGCATCGCTAGGTATAAGGATCGATTCTTGAGAATCGATCCTAGCTAGGTAGGGTCAAAAAGGAGTCAGGGAAGCGAGCTTTCGATCCAACTTCAAGAGTTGGTACGGTCCTAAAACTTCACGTGTTGGTAGGTAATCTTTCGAGGTGTTCAGGATTGCGCAGACGGAAGGATGGTGATCGAACCATTTTTTCCCGGTCCGCCAGCGGACCTCGACCGGATGTCGGCCCTCTCCTTCCACGCCCGTCGTGCGGTGCGTCGTGGGTGCGGTGCGTCGTGGGTCCGCGTGAGGTGGGCACTGTGATGGCGATGCAGTGGCTCCAGCTGGGCATCTCCTCGGTGTCCTCGGAGGTGAAGTTGCACTGGGGACTCTTCGCCACGGGGTGCCCAGTCGCTGTGAAAAACGCCAGGTCGGTGGGGTGAGGTTCAAGTCAGGGGCCTGACTCTGGCCTATGTGCCAGAAAGGGAAGACCTAATCGAATGTAGACTCTTGGTCCATCAACCCCCTTATATGATATGTGGAGGTTTTACAATTCAAATGGACGGATTTATTATTCAAAAGTCCACATTAAGATCGGCAAGCGGAGTGGGATCATTCCGAACAACCTCTTCCACTGTTTGAGGAGAGGTCTGGGGACTGGAACCGGACGGGCTGGAACCGGGCAACAGGACGAGGTTTCTTCCAGTCAATGCACATGCGTGTGGTTTGTGAAAGGGTCACATGCGTCTCTTCCAAATTCACACCTCACAACACCCTTTTCGCGTGACCCTTTCTTGGGGGGAAACCCCACCTGGGAAAGAAGCGCGCTATTCATCGAAGAAACGTGGAACCCGGTGGTGATTGGGATCTGAGGATTCTTTGTGGCTTCTTGGGGCAATCATCGCTTGAAGCCCTGCTGGACTCTCGGCCTCACAAACATCGGGCAAGCATGTACCGTGCAACAGGGTCTTTGGGAGTGTAAGAATCGAAATTATGGTTTCTTGTTTTGTATCCTAGAATCCTAGGAGGTGCAGGATTTTCTCCATCGCTGATTCAACGATCTTCAAAGCAGTGCAAGCTTGAGCAGCTTGACTCCCTCAGAATGCAGAGGGTATCAATTGAGTTGGTTGAGGACTCCTCTTCATTTTATCTTAGTAACACGTGCATCACTACTAGTAACTAAGGGCCTTACTACTAGTAGCAAATAGCTACTAGTTTCACGCCCTTCTTACTTTGGAGTCGAACACTTCTTCAGGGCTTTCCAGGCTGGAACACAGCTGGGTGGGGTGGACGTCGCCGTCACCGGTCGGTCGGGTCCGGCAGAATCGGAACGGTCGGAACCGGAACGGTCCAAGGTCGCGGCCGTTTGAGAAAGCCGACATGACTGGCGGATGGTGGTTTTTATGTAGGGTCATGAGTCATATCTACTCCTTATGTACATGGATCGTTGGGGTAAGCACATGTTCTGCTCTTCCGGGCTTCGTTCCTCCAGTGAAACGCTCCAGACTGAGGCTCGCTCCACACATTCAGCCAGCATCAAGCAGCGGCTCACTCTGATCCTGTCCTTTGCATGGACCATGAACATGCTCACGACGAGCTGGTGGTTTGTGATGGAAACCCTTGGGCCGGCAGGACCTGACCTGAAACATGTTGTGTGTGTGTGTGTGTGTGTGTGTTTTTTTTAAATATGTGTTTGAATCATGAAATGTGTTTGTGGGTGAACGATGTGGATGTTGACAGGATATCACCTGGGAAAGCTGAAGATAAGCCCTGTCCAGAACTTGATCGTCATTGTATCGCTGGATTTGCTGTTGTTCTCAGGGGTGTCACACTTGCTCCTGAAACGCGAGCGACATGAGATGCTGCAAGAGATCTGCTGTAACATCAGCAAGCAGATCGCCTGACGACGCTGACGGCCGCACCACGACCGAAGGGTTCTGCCACTGTGAGGGGTCGATGAGGTGCGCCCTGCGCTTTCAGAGGGCATGGGTAGCCCATTTTCATGTGAAGCAGGGTCGTGCACAGCTGGTAGGCACTGAACTGAGCTTGAGAAGAAACTTCCAAAGTCCTTCACCTGCCTGGAACAAATGGATGAAATAACACAGCTGTTGATCTAGATCAACAACTTTATAGACTTATAATGCTTCACCTTTGCATCAGCACGCTGTGAATTCGACTTGCAACGCATCTGCGCCGAGAGGGTTGGGGTTGATGAGGAGACAAAAAGGGCTGCCTGTCGTGTGACCATGGGAAGGGGACCATGGATAGCATGAACCGACACCAGGGGCGTCTCCAAGGGTTTGAGAAGTTGGCATGGAGAGCGGGGCGCGGGTGGTCGCTAGACACCCAAACAAGCGTTCACTTCTTTTCGTGGCAGCCGCGTACCCGCGTACCCAGAAAGAGTACTATGAAACAACAGAATTCTTTGAGATCAGTGAAGAATCTGGAGAATGACCGCTGCCCATCTTACATCCACATTCTGAATGCACTCCTCAATTCTATTTGGACGCCCACGCCTCCACGCACTCACTGTATGCATATAGTTTCTTCCATGATCTTACTTGCTACAGAGCTTACTTGCAGCCGCAGCTCTGTGAGGACCCGGAGCTCTCCAAACCTGCCAAGCTGAATTTCGAATTCCTTTTCCCAGGCTCCTGGGGCGGGTGGAGCGGTTCCGCCCGGTTCCGCCCGGTGCCGCAGCTGTTCGGTTTCGGAGAGATGAAGTCCGTGGCAGCCGGCCCGGCTGATCGGGGTCTTTGGGTATTCCGTGTGGCCGATGAGGTCACGCATGAGCACAGGCAAGTGATTGACAAAGCATACCTGTGCGAAAATGCAAACATCACAGATATGGGCCTGGGCGGAAGTTTCAAAGAAACAGCATATACTTGTGACGAACAGGGGCGACAACTTGTCCCGTGCAGAGCACGGGGAGCTGCGCAAGCGCAAGCTCCCCTCGGTTCTGCACGTTGAAACCTCCGGTTCTGTTCCTCTAAAGAACGATGCAACAGGCCTGAACTTCCACTGCCCTGACGCGTTTCGGAATTTGTGTTCCATTACCCTCCAACTCACTAACATGGAAGTGGCGTTCACTACCTGCTTCTATAGGCCCGGGCCATCCACTTCCATGTCTCATGTTAGTTCGTGAGTCGTTTCGTGTACATTCGCGGCCACCCCTCGTCACTCTTCCCCGCAGCTGTTCGGATGGCGCTCTGGACGGGGTGCAACGCCGAGGACGCTGAAAACACACGGAAAACGGAACGGTTCTCGACTCAGAAACCATTTCCTATGTAAAGGATTTCAATTGCCATATTGGAACAACCATTTCTTTCTGGTTGTTTGGGGTTCCAGGGATATGTTTTTCTTCTGTCCGACACTCCCTTTTTTCTGCGACCTCAAGCAACTGCGCGTAAGCAATTGATGAAGCTGAATGTAGCAAACGCCAGTTGGTGACAAAGTGAATCTCGAAAGAAGAAAAACCTGCGTACTGTAATTGACGTTTCGAAGAGGTCTGAGTTATGAAGAGTTGCAGAGAGATTGCGTGCACATCATGTATTTGTGTGAGATGGAGATGTGAGAGACTGGAATGGTGGTGTGGAAAAGCGACAGATGCACAACAGCTTTGGGTGTGGCCACCCTAAAGGAGTATCAGTGACAGGTGTGCGTTGGATAGAGGATGCCCAATTGAAGTGGAGAGCTGGTTAGTTGGGTTGTGAAACGCAGTGGCAGCATCAGGTGTGTGCTGGGTGTTTTGGTCGCACTGAGCCTCAGTGAGCTAACTTGCGAAACTGAGACGAGGTTTTGCAGTGCCTGCGGTGCCACGATTGTCTCGATTGGTTGCGACCGAAGATTCGCTCGCCATCGATGCCCATCGCTCATGTAGGTTCTTCACCGACAGGTGCATGGATGGCGATTCTGAATCGCAATGGCGACCCCAACGTTTACTTGATAGAAGGAACGACTTACGTCCCGAACTCCTCGTCAGAAGGTCCCGAACTCTTCGTCAGAGCAGCTCGGATCCTTAGAACGCCAGGCCATTCGATCACTTCAATCGAAGAGCGTGGCCTTGGAGGGACCATCTCCAAGGATGAAGTCGAGTGCCTCGGCAGCTCCGCGCGAAAGCGAACGAAAGCACACACAAAGGTCGGCCATGGCCGAACGAGCGGCTCCGTTGGAGTCTGCTCCTTTCGGCCCCCCCCAAAAGAATAAAGGAAAGGAATTAATGGATACGTCATTGACAAAGAGTAGGCATGGCATGTGCCTCTGACCTAAACATCATGTTTGGCCTTTGTGCCTTCTCTTGTTCATCAACGGTTTAGCATAAAATGGTGAGCAGTGATGCCGAGCTTTACGTCCGCTGCGCCGCTGATCGAAAACAGGACATCGAAGGGTCGCGTACATGTTTTCTTTTTTTTTTGCCGTGCGAAACTGGGGAAGGTCTAGCTGTTGACACAACTCCAAGTGTTTGTTAGTAAAGGCCAGCAAACAGATGCTTGTCGATCATCCTACTTGAGGTAAAATCTGATTGGATCCACAGCACAAGGATGATGAGTCTTGACGGAACAGGTCTCACGAGCCTCATGGGACTTCCTTTTCTCACTCCACTGCATCCCAGGAATTTCCATCAGGACATATAAGGACTGACTGTGGATTTTGGTGCTTCACTTGGAGAAGCAGGGCGCCACTTCCATCTCTCAAAGGCTCCAGGGTGGATCGGACAGATCACCGCCTTCCGGCTCCAGGCATCGTCGCATCCAGTGGCCCTTGGAGGACGAGGCCGCACCCGGTGCACCTTTGGGCCGCATGCGCAGCGCGCGCAGCACCGTGGGCGTGGTGACCTTTGGGCCGCTGCAGATCAGGCGCGAAGCAGAAGCCCAGCGGCTCGCGGGGAGGTGGGCAGCGGCTCGCGGGGTCACCTGGCTGGCCCCGGCTGGAGCACCAAAGCACCGAGGTTTCGCACGGTGAGGTCCTGCACCACGGAGTCTTCCTAACTGGTGTTTCCCCTTTTGTGGTGCACGCGAAAAAGGAAAGCGACTTCTTCTTCTTCTTCTTCCGCATGCAATCCATCATTGAGCACGTTTTGCCACGGTTTTTCCACGGTTTTTTCCCATAAAGGAAACGAGCACACATGCATTCCTGCATTCCTGCAACATGTTCGTCTCTCAGCTCTAGTTGATCAGACGTTCATTTTCAACACATGGGCCCTGAAGGATCAAGCTGTCTGAAGCTATATATGTAGATTGACTCAGTGAGAGACTTACTAGTAGCGTCCTTGCTACTAGTAGTAATGGCCTCCAACCTACGTAATTACTGTAGCTTCTTGTTACTAATAGAAATGCCCTAGCTACTAGTAGCGTCCTTGCTACTAGTATTCTACAGCACTGTTTTTCACTGGCACTGGAACCCGATCTGCTTGACATCCCGGCCTGCTGCGGCTTCCTACGCTTGCGCTGCTCAGGACCTTTTTGCTCCAATTCGGCGAAGCGGTGTTCATTTGAGGCGAGACCCGACTCAGGTCCACCGAGGTAGACCGAAATCGGTCACTTTCGGCGAGTCGGACGAAGAGCCGGTTGGGGGGGGGGGGGCATCAGAACTCAACTACGGTCTTCAAGATGCTGCGGATTTTCTTTGGTGGTCTTTTGGTATCCAGGCGTTGATCTGACGTGTCAAAGAGTAGGCAGTGTTCCTGGAACAAGTTGGTTCAATGAAGATCAACGGTGAAAATCCGTCCAGCCTTAAGCTGCTTGAAGCCGCGCCGTCTGCAGCGGGGGGGCGCTCCAACCACCCAGGAAAGCCTCGGGCGGTCGCTCCTGGGAGTCGCTCCGGTCGCTCCGAGATCTCGAGGTCTCTGAAGGTACAGACTGTAGACTGTAGACTCTTGATCCTTTTCCAACCCCCCCCAGACATGGATTTTTCAAAGCCTTTTCAGACTTGGAGGTTTGACAGTTCAGCAAATGTCTACATGACTGGTGGCCTCTGCTTTGATGTCGCCAGGAGCCACGCCACGAAAAAAGAAGCGGTCCGCGCTGAGGTGGCAAGTGCGTGTGGTGTCGGGCAGAAATCCAAAGTTTAAGACCCATTCCAAGTAGCACGTCAGAGGCTGGACTGCACTTTTTCGCCGGCTGGAAGAATTTACGGCCCAGTGCTGGGAGCTGTATAAAGCCATAGAAAATACCTAGCGTTTTTGAGGATTCTCGTGCCCAGATATCTAGTGTAATCGCTGCACCCCAGACTGGGTCAAGACGGGGCTTTAACTTGCAGAATGGGGCAGCCTGGAATAGGGGTCCTTAGTGTAGGGCGAAATACCACAATGGCGGAACATGTGAAGATGTGTTGTTTGTGCAAGTCGGACATCTGGTTGGAAATTCGAGTCCGCAACCCGCGTGTTTTGACTGACAGAACAGGGGTCACGGGCTCACCTCTTCCCCCACAGACCTCACCTCAGTCCGAGACCGTTGAGATCGCAAAAGGGTGAGTCACAAGGACTCAGGCTACTCAGTGACTTGATGGTTGATCGGTCACCGGGTAGAGGACATCGGCTGCGGAGATGGGCTTGGAACGGCAGAGTTCTTTTCTTTGACTCAGAGAGTCATCAAAGAATGACATCTGGATACTCATCTGGATACTCATCTGGAGTACCTTTTGGTCATCATATCTTAGAATATCTTGCTACCCTCACCGGGAGGACCTTGGGACGGGACGACCAAACATGTATCTCAGCGACAAAAATGGGGACTCGTGGGAGTCAGAATCCGCCACATGATGGCTGTAATCTACATAGAACTACCTTTCGGAGTCGGAATTTAATGCCCATCAAAAAACCGGTTCCCCTGCTCTTCGGACCACATGGAAGCCCAATACCACGTCGGGTTGTAGAGGAAAAGAGTCTTCCAAAGGGCAATTTTTCAGGCTCCTTGTTTTAGTCTGTGGGTGGGGGTAGTATCGAAGGAAGGCATCGATAAACCCATCTGGGTGGAGTGACGGACACATGGGTCAATTTTTCCCGCAGGAAGGGTAGATACTTCACGTGATCGCGAGCATTTGCTCAACTTTCATGCAAGTCTTCGATCTTCCTTGGGTGTGAGATGCGATCTCCGGTCCTATCTCAAGGCAAGCCGATATCCCGGACGAGAAAACATTGCATTTGAACGGCCGTGTGAAAAAAGCACACCAATTTGGTGCAGCGAGCTTGTGCGATGGCGCAGGGGGGGCGAGGAATGGTCCTTGGGTCCTTGGGGGCACTCCTGATTTATCGAGGGGGTACCCAGTACAACATGAACATGGTCCATTTTGAGGTTACCACTCATCCAAGTCTATATAGCACTTGTAGAAGGGCGGATGAATGATGAGGGACCGGGCAAGGGTTTATGTTGCAGGGACTTGGCAAGGCTTGGCAAACTCCACCAAGGACCCGATCCGCTGCCACAGTGGTGGGAGGAATGGAGCAAACTTAACTAGCTGTGGATCCAAAACATGCTTCTTGCTTGATTGAGCTAGACAATATATATATATATAAATATATATATAGTAGATATTCTCTTGATTGTAGGTACCTAGATTCGATGATCGAACTATTCACCTCGACAACTGGACCTGCTTGAAGGCCCTTCTGTTTCGGCCTACTCTGTGGTATGACCGGTCAGTTCGGGGGCACAACACACACCTCTGCAGACTTGGGCATGAACTTGGCTTTTGTATGCTTTTCTTCACCCTGTGTAGAAGAACCAACTTTTCGTTTTTCCATGTTCGAGTCGATCGATGTCGGACTTCTACTTCACAGGTGGAGTCCATGTCCGGCAAGAGGCAGTGGGGCTGAACCGACACACTCCGACCTCGTCGAAACCTCGACACCGCCCCGTTCCACACTCCCAGCAGACTTCGAACTCCCAACGACGATGGATGTGCCGGACCGTACGACCTCGCGTGTGCTCCGGAGACTTTGCTTGCAGACCAAGGTCGGACCGGGGTGAAACCACACGGGAAAGAACTGTGCGGAGACTCTCCAACTTGTTTGATTCTTTTACGGCAGACTAGGACGGGAGATATAGGGAGAACGTGCAGGTGACGATCCGACTGTTCATGAAGAATGTACATTGCACCAGGTCACCAGGGGGGTTTCCAAAACTCAAACCGTCTACAGACCCAAAGACCCAACGGCTGCCGTCCCATTTGACCCAAACTCCTACATGGTGCTGTAGGCGGAAGGGTGGAAGGGGCTTTGACACCTGTCTATATGAAGGCCCTCGCTACAAACCGCTTGACACCTGAAAGCACCCTCGCTCCCCGCAGCGGAACAACACCGTCTGCGCCGACCGAGTCTCTGCGGTCGCCGCCGTCGCGAAGCGTCGGAAACGGACGTTGGCAGCCACGTTTTCGGACCCAACTGAGGCGCATTCTTAAAATCGACTCCGATTCTTCACAGGGTGGGTGTGTCTTGTGCAGGCGCAGCGAGCCTGGGCGCCTGGAAGTGGCATCCTTGACGGCCCGAGCGGTGTGGCTTGGTACCCAGACAACCTGGAAGAATTAACACACAGGTTTCAGAGTAGATGGCACCCCATGATGTCCTTTAGATGGGGGTCCATATATACCACCTCTTGGGGTCTGTGCCATCTACTTTCAATCCACCGTAGGGAGACTCACATCGGCCGACGGTTTTTTTGTCAGAGATCTTGACGAAAAGCAGAATCCAGACATCAGAATTCTTTCCACCTTCAAAGTGACCAGTGACCTCTTGGGAGTCTCCAAGTGCTTCTTTTCTTAAATTTCTTTTTTCATCTTTTTTCCAACAGATTCTCATACTGATTCTCCATGATTCTTCATGATCCCGTCAAAACTTCCAAAAGCAAGCGACCGCACCACATGAGGCTTCAGCAACGACCAGGGTCCAGGCTGGGGGGGGTTCGATTAGGCACAGAGATGTGTTTTCCTTTATGATAGACAGTTACTGTATGTGATGTTATGTGCATCTAACTGTCATTTCTTATCACTTGTTATCATCTAACACCATTTTTTAAAATCCTTATGCTAGATGTCACCAACAGATGAGTGTTCCTTCAGAGCGTTCTGATACTGTATCCAAAATTTTGCCTCCAACAAACAGTGCAAGTCAAGACACTCCTCCAGCGCCAAGTTTACCGCGTGAGATGTTTGGAGTGTCAATTGAGTTCATAGATAATCTGCTTCCTATTGCAGTAGATATGGAGTTGTGCCATCGGTGAGCTCGGTCAAAGATCAAAGCGACACCCTAAAAATCATGATGTATTTGTGTGCTTGACTGAGCCAGCTTCACGGATTGTCAATCCAACAGTTTCATGGGATTCGTATAAGTTTGGGCAAGATCAATGGCAAACGTATAGGCATCGTTTGTACGGATCCTTGACCATCTGCGCACGCCACTTCTTGCGAGCTTGAGTGCGGATGTGCGGATGTCCTCATTCTCTTTGGTTCTTTGTCTACTGTCTACTGTGCTATTAGGTTGGCGGCCATCGCTATTAGGTTGGCGGCCATCGCTATTAGGTTGGAGGCCATCGCTATTAGGTTGGCGGCCATCGCTATTAGGTTGGAGGCCATTGCTATTAGGTTGGAGGCCATCGCTCTTAGTTTGGAGGACATTGCTATTAGGGTAGAGGCCATTGCCGCCTTTCCGTTTCGACTGTATTCGTCAGTGGTAGCTCTGTTAGCAGTATTGAGATCCTCCAAGCCCTACCAAAACGCCGTGAACCAGAACCAAATCCTGGTCCATTCACTGCACGTCTCGGTCCGACCTGTTTTCGTTCCTGGTCGGAGCGTCCGACCTTGGTGGGGTCACGGCACCACGGTCCGAAATGAACACCACGAGACGGGGTCAAGCTATACGTCAACGCTGGGCTGGTGGAATGACCGCCACTTGGTGGATGGCCAATGTAATGTGTGGAGCTCCATCCTTGGCGCTCTGGTACCGGATCACTTCTTAGATCAGCTTCTGACACGTTTTGAAACGCCATCATCCGTGGGTTTCCTCGGTGTTGCCGCACAGCTGCATGTGGCCGCACCTTCCCACGGTTCTCCATCGGCACTTCAGGTGGGAGCTTCTACCACACTACTGCCAGGTGGTGCAGGGTCGTCGTGCCCAACACCATGGGCAAAAGTGGCTACAGGCCCGTGCGCATACAGCTGACGATGACTCGAACTGGCAAGAGGAACAGAACAGCAGGCTTGGGATACATCCTATGTCTAAGATACTCAGATATTCCTAAGATTCTCAGATCCTTTTCTTTCCGTTAGCACAAGCAGCACAAGCTCGAGCATGGGACTCAGGTCACCACCCGCCTGGCCCTTGAGGAGCCCGTTGGACCGCGACCGCCGCGCCGTCCCCCTCATGGAACTGGACGGACTTTCTCTTGGTTTCTGGAGCTGAACGAAGCAAGGCCGACGGCCGAAGAGGTTTTCCCACTTCAAAAAGTGTGATGAGAGGTGAAAGGACTCACCATGTCGAAAGCTCCCCTGGGAGAGTTCCTACCGCGCGCCAGCGCGCTCAGTTCTGAGGAGCGATGGCTTTCGAGGAGTAAGGAAGACTTGCGAGCCAACTCCTCAGATCGGCAGGATTGACATGTTTTGAGGGCGAACTGTGAACGCATCCAACAGGGTCTTTAGGGTCCATGATCAAGAACCCTTTTCTTTGCTCATGGACACTGGTGAACTCAGGTGTGGTTGGGGTTTTCACCTCAAAATTGGTGTGATCATTTCGGAGTTACTGGAGGGGGAGTTCCTGAGAGTTCCTCAAGTTTCACCACTCAAGTCCCTGGAGGATTCTCAGATGGAACGAGGTCCGCGAGCACTTTGTGGTCTACGAGCTGCCCCGAGAGGGCGCCATCGTTCAGGAGCTCGCTGTTTCGACACGAGACCAAGTGAGTTATTTGGAAGAAGGCTGGACTCGCTCAACAGATTTCAGGGGAATCCGGAATGTAACCGCTTTCATTTTGAGGATTTCTCGGATCAGTTCGGCGTCGTCTCGCGAAGGACTTCCGGATCGCCGCCATTCTGCCGGACGCGGAGCCGGCCAAAGAATAGAAAAGGTGTTGAGAACTACAGCGGCCGGTGGGTGCGGAAAAGCAGAGGTTTTCCACAGACGTTTTCCACACGTCCTTTTCAAACACTGAGACAGAGGTTTGCAGCTGTTGAAGAGCAGAGTTATTCGTGCTGTGAGTTATAGGGCGAGTAGTTTTCTCATTTGGATGTTTCTTGTCTCTGGTCGGTCCTCAGTGTCTTGGAGGCCATCGCTAGTAGGTTGGAGGCCATCGCTAGTAGGTTGGAGGCCATCGCTAGTAGGTTGGACATCACTAGTAGGTTGGAGGCCATCGTTGGTAGGTTG